ATTTAACGTGTAAATGATGATGTTAAAATTAAAGAGGGAAGACCAAGGTATTTTTTAATTATTTAAAAATTATTTTTTTCATTTGCAGCATATTTTAAATTTAGGTTGAATATCTTGTTTTTTTTTAGGTCAAAAATTAGGTAATATTAGCATTAGTTTTTTTTTTCACTATTTTCAGTTGGAAAAATACACATTGATTTGGAAAATCTTGCAAAAATCAAGTACTTGTTGGATTTTTATTAAACTTTCAGAACTTATTCACAAATGAATGAAATTATTTTAGAAATGTTTGTCTTTTTGAAAGTCATGGTATAAATATTTCTTTTATATATATTACACCCACCGAACTTAATTTTATGAAAACTTCAAAAATTTATTTTGCAACCTGAATTTTTTTTTATTATTACATGCACTAGACTCTGAAGATTCTAAATCATCGATTTTTTTGGTAAAAAATGTGTAAAATTGTCCAAGCTTTTACCTTAATTTTAAAAATACAAAGCCCAATAAAACTAAGACAATATTTAATTAAAAAAGCTTTTTATGACTTTTCTGAATAACATATACTAAGGTAATTCTTATCTGAAAAAAAAAAAAAATTGAAGAAAAATGAATTTTTACAATATTTTTTTCTTTTTTTTTTCTATTTTAAATACACAATGACAAAAGTCACAAAATTTTAAAATATATTTTAAAATTAAGTTTCTTTATGCAACCTTATGGAAATGGCATATTTTATTCTCTACTTTTTGAAGATCATAAATTTGAAAGCTTATTAAAATCTGACAACCGTTGATATTTTTAAAATAATTTTTTTATATTTCAAAATTGTATTTAAAATCGTCTCCAACGAAAGTATGGATGCACAGCTTTGAAATAATGTCACATGAGGTAGACTTGTTTCTCTTGATAGAAGCAAGTTCTTTTTACTTCAGAAATTTTTCCTCCAACGTAAGGTTAAAAAGGTTTGAAAGTGAATTTTTTTTAAATTTACTAACCAGGTTCACTTAAAATTAGAACGAATTACATCACTTCTGCGCTACCGTACGATAAATTCCCTTGACATAAAGTTTTCAATATTGACATGTATATCAATTAACACCTCTCAATCACGCACCTAGGCAAGCACTACGGTTGGAAATATCTATTAAAAAATTTAATTTTTTTTTATTCAAGAAAAACGAAATTTTAAATTTTAAAAATTTATAGGAAGTATTAAAAAATCTGAAAAAATCTGAAAAAATTACTTTGGTCTTCCCTCTTTAATTTTAATATAAACATTTACACGTTAAATTTTTTTTATCCACTTGGGGACCTATTTTCTCCAGGGTATACCACTTTTTAGTGTTACCAGGGACAAGCCTGTTTTTTGCTCGAAATCAATTTGAAAAAACGATTAAAAAGCATCGCTGTCACGAGAATGAAAGGGGGACAACTCATATCGAGTTATAGTTATTATAAAACACAGGTTGTTTGCGTGTATGTGTGTGTGTGTGTGTGTGTATGTGTGTGTTCGTTTATATATGGGATCGGATTTTCTAGATTTTTCAAACGATTTCAACAAAACTTCACTTTTTTTTGGCAGGTAGTGTTTCTTATTGTCTTGCACACTTTTTTCTTTATTTTTATATTCAGAATGCTTTAAAAATTCCATTTACAAGACAATTGTTTATAATAAAATTCTATTCAATCGGTAGACTGCTAATTCTGAATAAATTCCTGTGTTATACTTTTTTACTCAAAATGTAGGTGGAATCACGGCAATCGGTGCTGAAAATAGAATGAACGAACAGATTAAAACCCTCCTAGAGAGTAGCATTAACTTTGCACTAAAGAAAGGTATAATTATTTCTCCTCTGCAGGGTGGCAGTATATCTAGAAGAAAAACTATTTTGAAATCGAAAGCGTGGCGAAGGAACGCGAAACATCTCCACTATGTTTCCAAAGAAGTCATGCCATAGTAAATTAAAGGGATCTGAGGAGAGACATGATCGGCTGAAATGACACGGGTTCTGAAATGTTTATATAATGAATGAAATCCTGAGAGTGAAGTGTTAGAGAAAATAAATGAAAAGCGACTATTACAAATAAATTAAGTTATTGACAGTATTTAAATAAATAGAGACAACTAAACTAGACGTTAGGGAGAGTAAGAACTTGAGAGAAAGGATAAATTTGGGAGAGTAAGGTCTTCAAGGATATGATATATTCGGGAGAGTGAGAGGAAAACAAAGGAGAAACTGATTGATTTGTTTTTAGAGGTTTATCAAGCTATTGCAGCTTATTTAAAGACGAAACATATTTTAGATTATAATAATATATTTACCAGGAAATATTAAATTAACAATACCTTTTGGAGATAACAATTATTTTTACATATACAATTCAACTTATAGCTGGTGGAGGAGAAAATATGGATTCATATCGTTGCGAGTAAGTGAAATTAAGTTTATCAAGTTCCTACAATGTTCTAGAGAGATTATTTCATAAGCCAAAATGAAAGACTGATCGTTGTCAGTGAGTTCGATCCTCACTATAGTGGCCTAAGCGTTGATTTGATGTAAGCTGTAAATGCGTCCATTGGTCATATTAATTTCACGAAATTTTTTTTTAGCTTCAAATAATTTTACTTTGTTGAATGGCTATACAGATGTTGATACATAATCATGTACATAATGCACACATCTTATTGTGCGTGTCGCTCCCTCTGATATATATATATATATATATATATATATATATATATATATATATATATATATATACATAGATAGATAGATAGATAGATAGATAGATAGATATAATAGAATTTTAGGGATTTTGGCAAATCATTATAGTAATTCAACGAGTCTAGAAGAATCCTCAACAGAATGAACTGGACGGTCATTTCGTCCTATTTTTGAGAACTCATCAGCAGTACGCATCCACTACAGAGATATGTATCGTTTCGATACAATACAAGTTGCCATACCATCTATACCAACAGGTCACGGTGACGAAAAAGAAACTGAGTAGACTCAATATAGTGCCTCTACTCCCAAATTCCATGGTGATATTCATCCAAGTATTCATAACCGAACGGATTGTGTCCCAAGAGCCAAGACATTCCTTTTCCCCCGAAACGCGACATTACAGATTTCGTGCTTTCTGCATTCTGTTGAGGATTCTTCTAGACTCGATAATTACTATAAAGATTTGCCTAAATACCCAAATATTATTTCTTATATATCATTGCTTGACCCAGCTAACGCTCAGCAATGGAGCGGTTCTGGGAAAAGGAAAATCGTGGCTCTTAGGGCACAATCCATTGGATTATGAATACTTGGATGAGTATCACCACGGAACTTGGGAGTAGCAGCGCTATATCGAGTCTATTCAGTTTCTTTTTTGTCACCAAGGCCCGTTGGTATGACGCTTCGTCACTGAGGCCCGGTGGTGTGACGCTTCGTCACCGAGGCCCGGTGGTGTGACGCTTCGTCACCGAGGCCCGTTGGTATGACGCTTCGTCACCGAGGCCCGTTGGTGTGACGCTTCGTCACACAGGCACGTTATATCCTCGCTTCATCCACTGATGATGAGTCCCAAAGTAGGACTAAACGGCCGTCCAGTGCTTCCGGCATTCTGTTGAGGATTCTTCTACAACGATGAATTACTATAACGATTTGCCGCTAAATCCACCAACACGCACACACTATATCCTCAGCAGTTCATACCCTGCAATGGATGATTCGAAAAGTCCTCTTGGGGCACAATCCGCTGGACTTAAATACTTGGATCCAGTAGCGGCTCTGTATCGGTTTATTTATTCAGTTTCTTCGTCATCGAAGCCCGTTGGTACAGTTCGATGAATTACGTTGTATCGAAACAGTATTTCGAATCTCGGTAGTAAATCCACCATGAGTCTCAAATATATATATATATATATATATATATATATATATATATATATATATATATATATATATATTGAGGGAAAAAATAATTAGATATTAGGAACCGTATATAAGGCATTAGCGTGCATACACAGGTTAGCGAATAAATATTTACTAAATTTAATTAAAGTAAACAAAACAGTGCTCAATGTATTAGACAGAGTTTAAATATATATTACTAAATATACATATACCTACGTTCAAATGTTAAACGTCGTTATATATATATATATATATATATACGCTTGACTTTAAGGTCCCCCCACATATCAACAGTCAGAAGGCCAACTCTAAATTCAACACCTGGTCCTCCATCTTGGGGAGTTGTAAGCAACAACCTACTCACTTGAAAACTGGATTGTTATAGGAGCTGCAAATATATCTTGCGGCCCTATGTTCTTAAGGAATTTAGAGGCATAATATATATATATATATATATATATATATATATATATATATAAAATGTATATCACTGCTGATCCATTCATTGAAGGATTTAAATTATTTTGTATTTAATAATTCCATATCCTGAATATTTTACCTCACTTCTTTTATTCCAGATTCAGATTAAGGGTTTTGCTTTAGAAGGGTTAATCTTGACTCATACTTATTAGAACTCTAGAGAATGTTCATATATATATATATATATATATATATATATAACGACGTTTAACATTTGAACGTAGGTATATGTATATTTAGTAATATATATTTCTTAGCTCTGTCTAACCACATTGAGCACTGTTTTGTTTACGCCTTTAATTAAATTTAGTAAATATTTATTCGCTTACCTATGTATGCACGCTAATGCACTTATATACGGTTCCTAATATCTAATTATTTGGTTTACCTACCTCAATATATATATATATATATATATATATATATATATATATATATATATATATATATATATATATATAGAGAGAGAGAGAGAGATAGATAGGGCACCTCGAGGTGGTGTAATGTTTAGCACTTAACAATTAAGACTAAGTAGTGAGTTCGATCCTCACTGACTGCCCCTACTTTCGGCCTTGTGCCACATCTAAGGTACGCTTGGAAAATTACTTTAGATAGAGAGAGAGAGAGCGGGGAGGTAGAGAGAGAAGGAGAGATATACAGAAAGACAGAGATGGATAGATACATAGATGAAGGGGTACTGGAAATACAATAAAAGTCCTGCTAATTAACCCATAGATGTGGAACAAAGTCGATGGATTCATGCCTTTCTCAAGTGTAATTGCGTGTAAGTTAATAAAACGGACCCAACTTCAATAAGAACTCGGACAGTTGAGTCCCAATTCCAAGACATTATCCAATTAGCCACACGCATATCGAAGCTTACAGCACTTGATATTCTCAATGTGGACACCCATCCAGGTTCTAGCCAGTCTTGATGTTGCTTCACTGGTCGTATGAGAACATGATATGAGCGTGAGTTCAGTTGGGTTATTTTGTCTAAGCTTGTCGGGAAGGTAACCGTCCAGTATTTCCTCTTGGGCAACTAAAAGAATGTATGCTACTGGAAGTAAAGGCTTGATTTAACGTGAATCAGCCAGTGTCATTTTTTTTCTCTCTGTATCCCACGAAAACAGACAGAACCGGGTATATTTGATATTTGCATAACCACTCACTAACGTAACCAGAGAATATAACACCATAACACATCGGTAAATATTAGATATGCCATTTAATGTGTGCGAAATTCCAAACGCTTTCAAAATAGGAAGTGACTTCGTTAATTTATGCAAGACGGTAATGAATGCAGCTCGTTATATTTGCTGCATGTCGGCATTTGCTTTGTTCACATGCAACCACTTAAGCAATGTACACTCGATGAATGATTTACGCATTAGTAAATATTAATATGAAATAACAAATGAGAAAAAACGTAATCGCAGAAGAGAAAAGAGAACAAAAGAAATTAACGAATAAAACTGAAAGATGAAACGAGAAGCAAAAACATTTAAAATATAAAAAATTATGAAAAGAAATGATGGAAGGAAGAAAGGAAATAACGTGCAAACATCAAGAAACAATAAATGAGGAAAAGAAAGAATATATATATATATATATATATATATATATATATATATATATATATATATATATATAAATAAAATAAACGAAAAAAAGGAAGGGACGGAAAGAGAAAGAGAAATAGTAAGAATGTCACCATGAATAATATATACAATAGAGAAAAGTAGTAAAAAGAAAGAAAGAGAGTAAGGTATGTACAGGTTACAATAGAAAGAAAGAAAGAAAGAAAGAAAGAAAGAAAGAAAGAAAGAAAGAAAAAGAAAGAAAGATACTAATATATATGCAAAAGAAACAGAGTAAGTTATGTGCAGGCTGAAAAAGAAAGAAAAAAAACGAAGAAAGAAATAGATTAAGATGTGAACATGCTGTAATAGAAAGAAAGAAAGAAAGAAAGAAAGAAAGAAAGAAAGAAAAGAACAGAGTAAGGTTTGTGCAGGCTGTAAAAGAAAGAAAGAAAGAAAGAAAGAAAAAGAAAAGAAAAAAGAAAGAAACATATATGCAAGAAAGAAATGGAAAGAAACATATATATGCAAGCTGTAAAAAAGAAAAAAAGAAAGAAAGAAAGAAAAAAGAAAGAAAAAAAAAAGAAATGTGTAAGATATGAGCTGTAAAAGAAAGAAAGAAAGAAAGAAAGAAAGAAAGAAATGTGCAGGCTGTAAAAGAAAGAAAAAAGAAAGAAATAGAGTAATTCATCTGTAGGCTGAAAAAGAAAGAAAGAAAAAAAGAAATAATGTAAGATATGAGAAGGCTGCAAAAGAAAGAAAGAAAGAAAGAAAGAAAGAAAGAAAGAAAGAAAGAAAGGGAAAATAGAGTAAGTTATGTGCAGTCTGTAAAAGAAAGGAAGAAAGAATAACGAAAGGAAGAATGTAATAGGTTAACATATATGCAAAATAATATAAAGAAAAAAGAACACAATCGAAATAGGACAACCTATGCGCTGGATGTTGTAGAAAGAAAGAAAGAAAGAAAGAAAGAAAGAAAGAAAGAAAGAAAGAAAGAAAGAAAGTGACTGTAGACGAGATGCCAGAACTGGGCCAATTATATTGCATATCCGCCTCTGGACCCTATCAAGAACGACGAGGCAAACAGAAGGGGCTCCAGACCATATATGGCAGCAATACTCCATGCAAGGAATACAGACTATAATGAGAAAACGAAAGAAATATTGAAATGAAGATGTATAGAAAGAAAATAAATCATCCAAAAGAATAAGTACATAATAAAAGGACATGAGAAGACATGTTAACATTTTGATAGAGTGAAAGAGACAGAAATAATTATGATAGAAAAAAAAAAAAAAAACATTATCTAACTTCTGTATAATTTAGGTTAAAACGTAATGTACACAATAGCTTGCGAAGCTTTGACGCACACAACCGTTAAGACATTTTGTATTTAGACGTAAGGTATAACACGTGGCCGAATGGTTAGAACGTTCGCATTCTGACCATGAGACCCCGGTTTGAATCACACCATAGTCGATTTGTCAGGAAGGAGACCTCCTGTGGTCATCGGACTGCAGGTGTCGATCCCAGCATACGGCATCTATGGAAAGTGCCTGAAAACCAAACCACAGGTTGACCTAAGCCTTGTGAGTGAAATTGTGTAGACGGAACATTTGGGAGCCATCGATAGCTGTGCTAGCACAAGTCACATATCATCTTAGCCGAGGGCTTGAGCGTGTTGGCCTTGTTCAAATTGTTGACCACGCTCTTTTCCAGAAACTGTAACTAAGGTCTACTCAGCATAGTTGCAGTATATGCCCCATGTGGGTGTCTGTGGGTGTTGAATAAACACAAATACGCCTAAGCAAACGTCCGCAATAGGGATTGGGTAGCCGCCTTGGTAGACGAATATCTTCGAATGCGAGTGGCCGACTATACATACATATAAAAGGAAAGGCGTAATACAGAAAAGAAAAGCAGTAATTTGATCCCAGATTGATTTTATTTAAAAAAAAAATATGAACTCTAATAACGAATATCCGAGAAATCTTGAGAACAACCTTCAGGATGTAGGTAATCATGGCTCTGCAAGACTTCATGATTTATTTCTTTTTAATAAAACTAAAGTGTGAACTGTCACGTTTGTTCTTGGCAGAGGTTACTTTTTACTTTTCTTTCCGGTGTTGAATTCAAAGTTGTCATTCGCCTAGATTTGTTGCCCTCCCAGGGTTAAATGCAAGTTCCTGGAAGATTACACAAGATGGAGTCACCACGGTCGGATTAAGTGTAGAATACTCGAGTTAGTTTGGTACATTCTTATTTTCAAGGTTACTTATCTCAAAGCGATATCTTTACAGAGTGACCACTTAAAAATTCGCTGTCAAACCAAGAAGGCCTGGCCCGAAAAAAAAACGATCTGTGGGTCGCTCATTTAGACGGAATTTGTAAGAAAGGTGCGAGCACCGGAACGTTTGGATTTTCTTCTTTATTCTCGGTTTAAATGGCTGCTTCATTACTGAAGAAAAAAGGGATGCGTTTGGAGTCGTGTACAAGATGGAAAAGATGGTAACTGTGAAAAAATGGATTCAGCTAGTAGACAGGTAATTCTTCTGACTTGTAATTTTGGTTCTCTTATACCTATTGTGGGCACGTAGCCGAATGGTTTCTGATCATGAGACCGGGTTCGAATCTCACCATGGTCGACTTGTCAGGAAGGTGACTTCTTAAGGTTATCGGTTTAGAGGAAGCAACCCAGCGTGCGTCACCTTTCTAAAAACCATACCACAGGTTAACCCAAGCGATGTCAATAAAAGTGGGTAGATGGAACCCTTGGGACCCGTCGGTGGTTGTGCTTCTACGAAGTCACAAGTCATCGTGACCGTTGGTCTGAATGTGTTAACCTCTGTTCAGACTCTTAATTAGGCTAAATAACATGCTCTATCCCAAAAATTGTAACTAAGGTACGTTCGGCATACTTGCAGTATAAACTACAGAGAGCTTCGTGGATGTTAAACAAACACAAATGTGCCTCAGCAGGCGTCTGCAATGGGGATTAGCCAGCTGCCCTAGTAGACTGGGATCGTTGGATATAAGTGGCTGCGCCATTTACATTTTTTATTATATCTATAATAATGATTCTTGGCCTACCTTTCGTTAGCACGATCATTACGTCCTGCCAATACCCGATATATAATGGGATATTCAGCGATTTGATCTCATGGAAAGAGGGGAAAGACATTACTGTCACTGATAAAATGTAAGAAAGACAGAAGAAAGAAGTGTAAATATTAATGGGAGATAGAATCAGATTAACCTGATAGGATTAGTTATACCACTTTGATCTTAGCAAAAATCAAGGGCGACCTCAATAAAAGCGACATTTGTCATACACACGGTATCGAATGTCTGAAACCGATTAAACAATTGCAAAAAATACAATTACCATGAATTAAAAAATATCATCTACAGGATTATTTTAAAGTCATTTTTTTGTCTCGTGACCCGTAGGGTCGTAGGGTCACCATGTGTAATGCAACAACAGTAGAAGTGGTATTTTGGGGGCAAGTTAGCCCAATCATTTCCAGGTTTGAATTCAGAGTCTTTTCCTTCTCATATACTGGTTGCCACCTAAGGTTATAGAACCCAGTCTGTTCTGCTATTTACCCATAGCTGGAGGGAGGAAAAAAGGAGCCGGGAGAATTGGGAATTATGGGTATTAGCACGTAAGTGAATGCAGTGGGTCCGACTGGAATTCGAACTCGGATCTCCGATTCCTCAATCCGATATTCATTATCCCTCCGTGCCTCCCGATTATTATTAAATCTTTATGAAACGGGAAATTGACTAGAAAGAAAAAAAAGAAGCGAAGACAAAAGTGTTTGACATCAAATGGCTATACCACATGAATAACAGATCGCGTTTTTTGATCGCGGGGGAAAAGGAGAAAACACACAACTTGATTTCAGTATGGAAAAGAAAGAAATTAAAAAATAAAGAAAAGGAATTTCAAGTATTTTCATTTGTACTCCCTTACTTCTTAAAATAACGACCAGCATTCATATTTATATTTGTTATATTTTGTTAAAGTTGTTAAGCTCAAATGCATAACAACGCAATAGGGGAATTTCTACTGATATTTTATTGTCAGGGGTTTATTTAAGCATTAACATAACAACTAAGATTCCTCAGAAAATCTAAATAGAAAACCGTGAAATGTTCACGGGTCGGTCTCGTATCTATCATTCCACCAATAATGGTACGCTGAGGATGTTCTACGTGGGAGTGGTTAGAACGTTTGCATTCTGACCAAGTGTCCTGGGTTCGAATCTCACCGTGGTTGATTTGTCAAGAAGGAGTCTTACTGGGATTATCAGACTGGAGGTGTCGATCCCAGAGGCACCTTTGGAAAGTGACTGAAAATCACACCACAGATTGACCTAAGCCTTGTGAGCAAAATGAGGGACAGTCGATAGCTCTGCTAGCACGAAGTCACATGTCATCTTAGTCGAGGGCTTGAGCGTGATGAAATTGCTGATCACGCTGGATAACACGCTCTTTCCCAGAAACTGTAACTAAGGTCTGCTCAGCATAGTTGCAGTATGGTGTGGATGTCTGTGCGTGAATAAAAACAAATGCACCTAAGAAAACGTCTGCAATAAGGATTGGCTAGCCGTCCTATTAGACGGGTATCCTCGAATACGAGTGGTCGACTATACATACATAGAAAAGGAAAGGCATACAGGTGTTGAACAAAAACAAATATGCCTGAGCAAGCGTCTGCAATAGTGATTGGCTAGCCGTCCTAGTAGACGAGTGGTCAACTATACACATATATATATATATTCCTCAAATATATTCTGCACTTAGAACATCCTCATGGCCAGGCGTGGTCGTAGAGTCGCTGCAGAAATGAAAAGCTGACCACCTCCCACCATTTGTCTCAGGCTGTGTTGTTATCTGATGATCTATTCAGTCTTTCGTATCGTGTCTAGGGCAAGTAGAACCCATCTCTTTCCAAGTCAGACGACAGTCGACGTCCGTCGACTTGATAGTTCGCCTTGGTAACGGATAGGTTGTGGTTGATTTCGCCGCACTGCTCGTTGATTCAGCTACCCTGGCCGTTGATTCCGCCGTTCTTATCGTGGATTCCGCAACTTTGACGGTTGATGACGCCTCTCTGACCATTGATTTCGCCGCTCTGATTGTTGATTCCGCAGCCCGGACCTTTGATTCCGCCGCTCTGACCGTTGATGACGCCGCTCTGGCCGTTGATTCAGCCGACATGATTGTTGATTTCCCCGCTCTGACCCTTGATTCCGCCGCTCTGATTGCTGATTCCGCAGCCCGACATTTGATTTCGCCGCTCTGACCGTTGCTGACGCCGCTCTGGCCGTTGATTCAGCCGATATGATTGTTGATTTCCCCCTCTGACCCCTTTGATTCCGACGCCCTGATTGTTGATTCCGCAGCCCGAACCTTTGATTTCGCCGCTCTGACCGTTGATGTCGCCGCCCTTGGCCGTTGATTCAGCCGACATGATTGTTGATTTCCCCCCTCTGACCTTTGATTACGACGCTCTGATTGTTGATTCTGCAGCCCGAACCTTTGATTCCGCCGCTCTGGCCGTTGATTCAGCCGACATGATTGTTGATTTCCCCCCTCTGACCCTTGATTCCGCCGCTCTGATTGCTGATTCCGCAGCCCGAACCTTTGATTCCGCCGCTCTGACCGTTGATGACGCCGCTCAGGCCGTTGATTCAGCCGACATGATTGTTGATTTCCCCACTCTGACCCTTGATTCCGCCGCTCTGATTGTTGATTCCGCAGCCCGAACCTTTGATTCCGCCGCTCTGACCGTTGATGACGCCGCTCTGGGCGTTGATTCAGTCGACATGATTGTTGATTCCCCCCCTCTGACCCTTGATTCGGCGCTCTGATTGCTGATTCCGCAGCCCTGACCATTGATTCCGCCGCTCTGACCGTTGATGACGCCGCCCTGCCGTTGATTTCGCCGCTCTGACCTTTGATTACGCCACTCTGGCCGTCGATTCTGCCGCTCTGACCCTTGATTACGCCTCTCTGGCCGTTCATTCTGCCTACCTGACCCTTGATTATGCCGCTCTGCCCGTTCATTCCGCCGACCTGACCCTTGATTACGCCTCTCTGGCCGTTGATTTCGCCACCATGACCGTCGATTCTGCCGCTCTGACCGTTGATTCCCCTCTCCTGACTGTTGATGACGCCTCCCTGACCGCCGCTCGGATTGTTGATTCCACAGCACTGACCGTTGATTCCGCTGCCCTGACCTTTGATGACGCCGCTCTGACCGTTGATTCCGCAGCCCTGACAGTTGATGACGCCGCCCTGATCGTCGATTCCGCCCTAAATCAACAAATCCTTGACCGGAAGAAACAAATCCAAGAATAGGTTAAGATTCCCTTACCCACATCATTGCTATACGAGACGAGTTGTGTCTCTACTCGTACGAGGAGAGGAGATATTCGACAGGCAGTTGCTGGCAGCTTTCTTGTCAGAAAGCCGAGAGGATTTCAAAGGTGTTTCGCTATAATAATCTACTGAAAAACAATGAACATAAAAAAGAATGATTGGAAATATCAATTAAATTCGCTTAGGGACAATCCATTCGAAATTCACTGGAGATTGAAATCAAATTAAACGTGAGACAATGCAGAAAGATTAGGCATAATTGGCAAACACTTGTACATACCCACTGCCCAAGACAAGCGTGACTTTTGGCATGTGATTGATTCCAGGGAAAACGAATCTTCCGCTAAAAAGTATTTTTTGCCAACCATCCGAAATTACATTTATTTGTAAGAAAAAGAATTCGAGATGAAATTCAAACCCAATAGCTATGGAAGTAAATTGTGAACAATGATCTCTTTTGTAAATGAAATTAACGATTTCATTTTACTGATCTGTCATCTTGCGATGCCAAGGTAACGAATAAAAAGTAGTTTCGATTTGCGATAGGGTTAATGATTGGATTCAGAAGAATAAAAAATTAGTTCAGGTTTCGAAGAAGCACAAAATTCCCTATTCTTCTGACTAGATTAGAACGAACACACAGACACATACATATCTTGCTTTCTTCCATGCTATAAGAGATAAAACTGCATTAAACCCACCGTACTTAGAAAGATACCGAGAAAGAAAACTTAAATTAAATATCTTATATGAACAAAGATGGTATTTTCTTCCACGGAAAAATGTATTGTAATCTTTTGGGGTCTTTCAGTTTGTGTTTCCAGCCGATGTAATCAGACATAATGTTTAAGAGCGCCATCGACATTTCAATCTTTCAGCAAAAATCTTCTTCAGGATAAAACATCCAAGGCCTCAAAAAGCAAACTAGCGACCTTCCACCGTCGACGATCGGAGCCAGAATTCAAACCAATCCTGATGAAGGGATGTTTCCTCACCGAAGCGCTGAGTTTTGGGCGCCTAAAATTAAAATTCAGTGCAGACATCAAGTGGAACTCATCCATCGCTGAATCCTAGAAAAATGGTCAGTTCTCTCTACCGTTTCCACAAGTATCTCCTCCCACTATACTCTGCTTTATAAGAAGCAAATCAGGCGGAAAATGAAATACTGATGGTTTATATGGGTAGGAGCTGTCCAGTCTTCACTTTCCTCTCTCGATGGAGTCCAAAAGTTTATACGCGTCCTTGTTGGTGGCGAATTATTTTCCACTCTATATCCGCTTTCTTGACGTGACCCCGCAAGGCTGACGCTGCTTCATCGCTATTTTCGTAGAGAGTGTTCAGACAAACCACATTCATTAATTCCACCAGTCCTAACATTCAGGGTTAAGACCCGCTATGCCGCAGACATTGTAGCGAACCAGCCTACTTCCCTTCATTTTCTCCTGGTGAGATGTAAGTTCCATTCAAGCATCTTTCCCTCACAAACCACTACCTTATCTCACCGACTCCCAAGAGGTTACCTCGCCGATCACTACAATCTTTTGGGTCTTTCAATTTGTGTTTCTAACCGATGAAATCAAACACACGGCTTGGGAATGACGCTACATTTCAACTTTTTGGTAAAAGACTTCTTCAGGAAAAAAAAAAAATTCAATGCCTCAAAAACCGAAAAATAAAAATAAAACAAAAAAATCTACTAAAAATTACTTTCAAATAGAAAATCCCCTGAAAGTGTCCAGGTTAGTAGCTTTCGAGTCCATAGAGATATCTTTGAAGGTTAGGGAGAGAATGCAAATATGGTATCGTGTCCCCTTTCATAAAGCTTCGATCAGTGTACTTCAATTACCGTTGTCACATCTGTTACCATTTCGAGCAAATGATACCCACAAGCAGATAGATAGATTCACAGCTGGACTTTTCTCGGATTCTACGAAGAAAAAAAAAGCTAGAGATTCATTATCCACATATGTTCCTAGCAATAAAAAAAATCGATTGCTGGTCGGAATGAGCAGATGAATTGACAATCAAGACATCAGCCAACTACACTCAGCGGTGGAAAGATGCAGTAATCAAGACAGCCTAAATCAGCAGCAACGCTAAAGAAGCCATTTTGGTTTAAAATTCCCAAGAGACGGAAGGCGAATATTTTAAGAAAATATCCCAGTAAGGAACTCAAGTAGATGAAAGTACTTGTGGAAGAAAGAAACGAGACATATTTGCACAAAGGATGCTTGAATATATTAAACAGAATATCTAAAAATATTTTTTTTAAAAAGTATATTAACGCCATAAGATCGAAAACACAGACACATAATACAAAACAAAATAATAATATAAGACGAAATTTACTTTATCACCTGTGTTAATAATCCCAAGGAATTCATTAGAAAAACAGCAAGGAGTTTATTGGATTTGTTTGCTTTGTTTTGTTTTACGGCATATCAACCTCAAATGACGACAATCTTTTTTTGCTGATAAAATTTCCTTTAAAAATGTATTGCTAGTAATATTTTTTACAATGTATTTTTGGTATAAAAACCTATCTTTACACTTTCAAAGTATTTTGATCACATTTTGAGTAACAACTATTTGCCCATAGTGGGGAACTTGACAGATGCTACCACCCCAGGTAAGGGTGGACCTGGGAACACCAGCAATTAAGTGCTTCCAGGCTCCTCAAAACCTTCTGATCAGAGACCTTGCTGTCGGGTGTAGTTTATCGTCATACCCAGGACACTAAATGCGTTAGTTGCTAGCCGTAATGCATTTAACCATAATTTTGATTTAAAAACGGCCACTTTAATTAACATGAAAAACGATTTAATAAGACGGAAATGTATAAAAAGTGTTTTAATCACTAGATAAACACAGCAAATTTATAGCCAGGGCCTTACAGCAGTTTAACTTTTTTAGCAGATCTTCCAATATGACAGTATTGGGTATTTAAGAACAAACGGGATAAAAAAACAACAAAAACAAAAAGAAACTAAATGAAAACGTCTAGACTATATCCGTAAACACATAAGATTAAAAAGAATTAAATTTAAATCCCCTCTCGTATATGCGCGGAGTGGCATTGATGTAAACATCACTTAAGTCGGATGACATCTAAAGAATGAAACGCATCACACAAATTTCGACTGTTATAGATAACACACACACACGCGCACACACACACACACACATATATATATATATATATATATATATATATATATATATATATATATATATATATATATATTACGAAGAAGTAATAATACAAAGAATTAATCAGTAAAAAAAAATAATTAATGGTGAAATTATTCACTAAAAACCGTACCGTTAATAAATAGCACACTCTTTAAAAAAACTTTTTTCAGCAAGCAATACATTTATTTTCCTCTTAGAAATCTAACTGAATTGAAAAAAAAATGGCAATGCCGTATGATGAAAACGTGAATGTCCTCGAAAGTACTAGCGATGGAACATCTAATCCATCCTACAATATTAAACATAAGGATTACGTCATTCAACGAGTGCTTACTAAGTTAATGTTTATTAAATCTGTTAGTGAAGTGATTTCGCCATTAATTACATTAACTTTACTGATTAATTCTTTGTATGATTACTTCTTTATAATATTATATACTACCTCATTTAATATATATATATATATATATATATAATTATTTTTTATAAAAAAAAATATTATAACATAAATATTTTATAAAATCACTACAAAAATAGCCATTTTGTTTCAACACACTCTGTGTCTTATCAAGCGGTTTTCTTTTCAACATCATCACTTGATATATATATATATATATAATT